ACTAATCCAGGGAGTAAAGATTATGTAGCTTCAGCATGATTGTTCATAGTTAAAGTGATTAATTATCCACCTGGCACTTAGTTAAGGGTTTTTATTCCCTCCCTAACTTCAGGAGAAAATCCCTACCTGGGGAAACAACCTTTCTCAGAGAGGTGACCTTGGTTAAAACACAGCGCCAAGAAGGTGAGCAAACCTATTAAGAACAGTATGCCATATATGCCAGGTCCCTTGAAACAGCAAGGATGGACCAGCTCCCGGCAAATAAAGAAGCAGCAATATTTCAAATAAGTCATAAAAATTGTAATCATCCTCATCAATTCATTCAGTCCCAGGTTATTAATTCTTGTCATTCAGTCCCAGGTTATTAATTCTTGTTGGTTTTGCTCTTTTTGTTAACTTTGAGAAATCCAGTTTTTCTTTTAAAAATATTTTTATTGATTTCAGAGAGGAAGGGAGCGGGGGGAGATAGAAACATCAATGATGATGGAGAATCATTGATCAGCTTCCTCCTGCAGGCGCCCCACTGGGGACTGAGCCTGAATCCCAGGTATGTGCCCTTGACGGAATCGAACCCGAGACCCTTCAGTCTGCAGGCTATGCTCTGTCCATTGAGCCAAATTGGCTAGAGCTCCAGTTTTTCTTTACAGTTCTGCAAATCCTCATCTAGTCCTAAGGTATAATCTAACAGTTAAGCAGAAATATGTATTTTAGAGTAAGTGTCAGAGTCCTCAAGATGAATCTCTCTGAAGATGAAACATATTTGCAAAAGAAATCAGAATAAGACAGTGACTCCGTAAATGACAGAATGATGTGGTTAAAGATCTGATCACAATGCAATTGACAAATTTGCTTTTCTCTGCAGCACACAACATTTTGAGATAAGTAGAATTACATTATACATTATAATTACATGAAAACATACCAGGATATTGTAGATTCCTAGAATTTTAATACAATTTCTAGAACATTTATTTTAATAATGATATTACATACAAGTATAACACAATTATTGTTTCTTATTTGACAATGCTTCCCATGTAATTTTAGCAACTTAAATAGACCTAACCAGCTTATTTTCCTCCTTTTTTTGTTTTTAAATATATTTTTATTGACTTCAGAGAGAAGAAGGGAGAAACATCAAAGATGAGAATCATTGACCTCCTGCCTCCTGCAGGCCCCCACTGGGGATTGAGCTCCCACCTTGGGCGAGCGCCCTGCCTGGAACCACACCCTGACCTCCAGGCTCCTGGGTGACACTCAGCACTGAGCCATCCGGCTGGCCGGCTGTTTTCCTCCTTTTATATAGAGAGAAGGAGCATCCTTTAAAATGCGTCATGGATTCTTCTTAAAAATCTCAAAAGTTATCTTTAGGTTAGGAAAGAAAGGGCTCCAATTTTTTAATTTTGGGAAGTTTGTCGAACATTTCAAAAGTTTAAAAGTAACTGGTCAGCTTTCTGAGGGGTCGCGGGCTGGCAGTGGGTCCCGCTCACCGCTGGTGTTGGCTGCGGTGGGACTCGGGGCTCCCCGGGAGGGCTCAGGCTGGAGGCAGAGGGACACGTCTCCGCCCGACAGACAGACAGACAGACAGACAGACGGCCGGGGCGGCTCTGGCGGGGCTGGTGCCGCCCCCTCAGGTCACTGCAGCGGCGCCTTTGCCCAAACCATGAGGCCCCCCCCCGCTCACCCCAACCAGCACGCTCACCCCTCCTGGCCCAGCAGCGGAGGGAAGCCCCTGCGGCGGGGCCACCGCCTGTCCCGGGCTCGGGCTCCCGGGTGTGCAGCCTGCTGGGATGATCCCAACCGTGTCCGCGCTGCGTGTCTTGTCCTTGCTGTTCGTTCCCTAAGAGGCCTTCGGTTTGCACCCCAGGTCTCCGGCCGTGTGACCCTCACCGGGGGGCGGGGACCTGTTGTCATGGTGTGCAAAGCCCCGAAGGAGTTGTTCCCCCAGGAACGCCACAGGCTGGCCAGCCCGCAGCTGCCTCTGTGCTGAGTAACACTGGCTAGTCGTCACATGCCCATCTATCACAGCTTTGGCTGTTAATGTAAAACTACAAAAGTATTAAAATGATTCTTTAAAGTAATAAATAAATAATAAACATAATGGTCAAATAGCATCATAGGTCCCTGTCAAGCAATACCTGGTTACGTTTAATCATTGTGCCGATTAAAGACTTCACAGGCAAATGCAGAAAGTTAAGTATTTGTAAACAAAATTTAGCTCTTTTAATATTAAGAAGATTATTTACCTATGCGATTAAAGACCTAATGGTACAGAGAACATAAAATAATTTTAATAAAACACAGAATATTTGCTTTCTCCTTATAATTTACCAGAGGCCATTGCACGAAGCAATTCGTGCAATAGGCCTTCCCTTCCCCTGGCTGCCGGCATCCGGGACCCAGGCCTTCGCTCCACCGGAGCCTTCAGTCTTCGCAGCTCCCGCTCTGCCTACGTATGAAAATTAACCGCCATCTTTGTTGGATTAATTTGTATACTCTC